AAAATTTCATTAGATATTAACTTTCAAATCTTTCGTTTTATAAACATATGTTTTGATATCAAAATTAAATGATAATAGAATTTCTTTTCTTACTAAATTTTTAAATATAATCAATAAATTTCTATTCAGTTTTTGCCATCTACTCTAAAAAAAAATGACATAACAAAGCTTTTTCCTCACCCTAGATTTTTTTATTCTTCTTCTTGTTCTTCAAATTAAACTGAGAACGAACAATAAATATGTTTGGTCTCGTACTTTCTCTTTCACATAAGAAATTCAATTGAATACATTCTATATACTTCAATCTTTTGACAAAAGGATACTTCTACATTTTTTTTTCTTATTCTATTGAATTAATTCAATCACCTACTTCGTTCACAATTTTTTTCTATTAATCATCATCAATTTTCCATTTTTCATGATATGTGTGTAAATCACTCGTTTATAATCAGTTCTTATATTTTTTTAAGGTGTCATCTTTCCTTGAATTAATTTTTCCTGATGCTTACACTTGCTTGAATATGTCTTATAATGATTCTGATGAACATGAAAGACTTGAAGGAAACGAACGGACGAGCGCAAACAAAACAAAACTCGTGTCGTTTGTTGAGACGTTCATATTCAATTCATTGGGTACCCCCTTAGTTGTTATTATTGTTGTTGCATTTCATTACAGTAAGAATGAAAGAAGAATAAATAAGTAAAAGAGAGAGAGAGAGAGAGACAAAAAGAACGTGTAGGGCTGTTTATCTTCCCGGGTACCGACATATAGAACCTTTATAAAAAGAATTGGTGTCGAACACTCTTTATTCATACACTGTTATCGGTCACACATACGCATTTCAAAATCTAAAGAGTGAGTGTCTTACTGTGCAATTTCTATCTTATGCCTAGTGAGTCTTTGTGCATATTCGCTTTCTATATTAATGTCTTTTCTCATTTTTTTTTTGTTTCATATATTAGTAATTAAGTATTGTGGTTTTATCGAATAAATTTTGATTTAGATTTTCTCTTATATTTATTTTAGTTCCTACTAATCAATCGTTATCATTAACATCTGTATTTTCGTCATCATTATTCTAATATTCATCTTTGAAACTATGCAGACAAAATTTATTCTTATTGTTGGTCTTCTAGCCGTCCTGTTTCTTTTCCACTTCAACACTGTTGTTGAGTCAACATCTCTTGAACACAGTGATGAAAAATGGGATGATTTAAGCTCAGAAGATTTTGATTTTGAGAAACGTCTTGCATCAGCAAAATTCGCTAGCGGACTTGGCAAACGATTAGCATCAGCTAAATTTGCTAGTGGCCTTGGAAAACGTTTGGCATCGGCTAAATTTGCTTCTGGCTTGGGCAAACGACTTGCATCAGCCAAATTTGCATCAGGCTTGGGCAAACGAAGTATCAATAAATAAAATAAAGAAACATATCTCTTATATGTAGTATCAATATATTTCTATATACATACACACGCTTTACTTTTTTTTTTGATTATTTCGCTATATATATCTGTGTGTGTATAGGATTTTTCTCCTGTGTATGATGAATAAGATGAATAAGGAATATAGAACCATCGGATGAAATTTTTTCCAGCTTTGCTTCACTACAAATAAAAAAAAATCTCCCAAAGAACAAAAAATAATTTTGAATTTTTATTATAACAATATTGAATAGAAATACTAAAATATCATTTTGTACGAATCTTATAATATCTGATGAGAGAATATATTTAAGTTTACATTATAAAATGTTTATCATAAATATCAAAGATCAATCATGAAACAAAGCAAAAACAAAAATTGAATATATGATATTATCTTTTTTTATATGTGGTGTTTCATTAAAATGAACGATAAACATCTTCCATATCTTATAAGAATGTTATTATTTATATTGGAAACAAATAATAATTTACAAGAAATGATAAAAAGAAATAACATTAAAAAGGTATTTTTAAATTGAACATGAGTAAAAGAGAGAGAGAGAGAGAGACACTTGAATAGTTCAATATTTCAAATTTCGATTTATCCATGAATAAATTCAATCCAACGTTCATCTTATGTCGTGTTCATATGAGAAGAATGATATGAAAATTTGAGGAGGTCATCGTCTCGTCTTCTTAATATATACATATATATTTATTCTTTTATTTGAAAGTGTCCTTTTTAATACAAACGACTATTGTCCATATGTCTACGGTGAATTGAACCGGAACGGAGACGATCGATAAGAAGAAATAAAGATCTATTCAACAACAACACTTTTTCTTTCTCATCAATACATACATATTACTTGGTTCAATTATATATCAAAAAAACATGTCCTACCGTTATGTCTATCCAAATAGAGCAACAGTCGTAGGTGCAGCTCCTGGTAGTGGTTATAATGTTGACCCAGGATTAATGTCTGCTGGTTATCCAAATGGTATGCCAGCAGATATGTATGATGATCGTCGACAACGGTAATAAACTGTTCTTTTGTTTGATTGATTTTTTTTAAAAATTATCTTTGTCAATAGATCATATTCACCAGGATCATTTTCATCCGATAGTGAAAGTACTGATGATTATGAATATCGTGGACGAATGATTACACGTGAAGCACGATGTCCACGTGATGTAGTTCGTGCACCAACTCCACCTCCAATTATTAAACGTGTAGTTGAACGAGCTCCAACACCTGAAGCACCTGTTATGGAACGAGTATGTATTGCATATTAGAGAAAAAAACAACAACAATGGTTTGATTGTTTTTTTCCTTCCTAATCTATAAGGTTATTATTCGACCACAAGCTCAGGAAATTGTTGAACGTGTTATTGAACAACCACGTACACCACCACCACGTATAATTCAAAAAGAAATGCAGGAAGAAGCACCACCACCAATTGTTCGAACACGGTATATTTTCTAATAATCATTGCAAATGTTAATCAGAAAAAAAAAAAACTTTATTTTAATTAGAGTTATCAAAGTTGATCGTCCACTTTGCAATGCTTATAGTCAACCAGGTTCACCATATAATCCTTCATATAATGGATTGCCTTCATGTTCAAATGGTGTTATGGGAGGTAATAATCCTTATCGAACTCATTCAATTCTAGCTTCAGTTGGACGACCAGTTGGATTTCATCACCCAGTTGATCATAATCCAAGTTTTTCATCAGCATCAAGTTTTGACTATGCTCCACCAATGTCAATGGCAACAACAGTTCCTCAAACAACAATGATGATGATGCCATCATCACAACAAGTACAACCTATGGGTGTTATGCAACAACAACAACTACAGCACCAAGTACAACCAATTGGCGTCATGCAACAACAACAACAACAACAACCAGGACAACCTATGGGTGTCATGCAACCACAACCAGTACAACAACTTGTATATCGACCAGTTCAAATACAACCATCAGTACAACATATGGCACCTCAATCAATGCAACGATTATCATCAAATTATATTCCTTCACATTATATGTATTCAGGACATCAAGGAATGTCATTGGGTTATCGTCCAATGATGCAACCAGGTAGAATGATTCCAAGTGGTATGCCAATGATGACTGCTGGTAATACATTTGTTCCATCAGCAAATCATTTTCCAAATCAACCACAAATGTTTAATCCAATAACTCAACAACTCGTCTATTAAAAATAACGTCATTTTACACAAACTTTAATAAGCATTTTCTGTTGAATTATTCAGTCAGATAATAATTCGATTCTTTTTCGTGGGTTTCATTATTATTCATTCATTCATTCATTCATTCATTCATTTTGTAGAAGAATAAAATTTCATCTTTTATTTATCCAAGATAAATTCAGATAGAAAAAAAAAA